AACAAGATAAATTTATAAATTGCTTTGTGTTTTTATAATTGTATACAGTGTATGCATGGAATAGATACCAATGTATATGTAAAAATTATTTTTGCATTTTATTTTTATTTTTATTAAATAAACAGATAAAAACATACATATAGAAATATAATTAAATTTAAATTAAAAAAAATTAAAACAAGACCATTGTTAATAGATGGAATGACAAGTAGTTCTGAGTACAGGCTATTAAACTGATTTTTATCAATCTTGATTTGTTTTATGGATCTCAGTGGAACTTAACCAAACCAAATTTGAGATCTGTGTTAAACCAGTAATAGACCTGGTATTTTATTTCCAATTTATGCTGCTAAAAAGGGCCTACTTTTTCAGACATTAGGTAAATGGGTCAGAGTTAAGGTTAAATTTTCAACCATACTTATCATTCTTGACTTCCAGATGTTCTGTTTTTCATCCTTATAGATTTACTAATATTGGTTTCCTCATCATTATATTTCTGTAACTGACACATGATAAACTAATCACAGACAAATATATCAAGGTCTTGCTTAGGATGTAACATAAATAACAACAGGATAATGTAGTGAAATTATTGGAGTAGGAACTAGAGGACTTAGGTTAAGCATTTATGCCTCAATTTTCACCATTAGTAGACACGGGTAATATTTCCATAGAGTTTTTGTATATGTTATGGAGCTCAATTTATAGAACACTAATACCATATATGGTTCAAAATAGGAGTCCATAATTGATTTCTCTAGTTCATATTTAGTCCATATTCCTGAATTATTTCTTCAGAACAGCTGATCTGCTAACAGATTCATGTTTTAGACTTCTCTCTTAAAACATGTGAGCCTTTGTGCTTATCTAGTGTCTTTCCTCTGAAGTTGTTAAATTGATATTATAGAAAGCATATACAATATGACTAAGGGAGAGAGAAAGCTCAAGGAAGATTTATTCAGTATTAGATAATCAAATTAATTTTAAGACTGTGTTACTGAACTTTTTAAACTTAATATTTGGCACAAAAATAGTAGAGCTAACTTTGAGATCAAGAGTAGTAGTGTATCTTAGTGGACAGAGCATTGCATCGGGAGCCAGTTCCTGACCTGTCATGTCACCTTGGGTGAGATGCTTCACATTTCTGTGATTTTGCTTCCTCTCCTACTTTTTGTCACCTTTTCTGTTTAGATTGTGATCCCCTCAAAGCAGAAAGTATGCCGTGCTACATTACAAATGATATGTCTGTAAAGATATTTCCTATGCCTGCCAAAGGGTGTTTTTGCCTGAAAGCTTGCAATTAAAGAGATTTTTTTTGCTAAAATCTAGTTGGTCTAATAAAAGATATCACCTCTGCCACAATGTCTGTAATGCTGCAGTTAGTACGAGGGATCCTGAGGTCCTGATCAAAACTGAGGCCCCTGAGACCGTATAGTACAAATAATATAAATATGTTGTAATAGGCATAAGCACAGTATATAACTTCATGGGACTTCGTTGTCTCACCTAATGGTCTCCTTGGGGAGCAATGGATACACCCTTTGTTTGACACCATGCAAATGGACAGCCAGGCATCTTCATTTAATTATTCTCGTAAGCTGAAGACTGAAGCCAACATCTTTAGAATGCCTTTTGTAAACTAAAGTGTAGTGACATAGACAGCTGTTTTCAGTGCATGTCTGTTATAAAATGTCATCTCTCTTCACAGTAGGGAAGGTGCAAAAAGTGACAGACAAAATAAATACACAGGGAACTGACTGTTATATATGAGCACATTAATGAATGAGCTAGGAGCAAGGTTAACCTCATGAGTAGCAGTTTAAATTATTTATATTTAATCTTGAAACTGTACTTAACACATTGTTAAGTTAGCACCAGGTTGACAGGATGGTATTAATTACATTGGTAGAAGTCTATCACATTAACAGAGCACAAACACTGAATCCAAGCCTTCTGGTTTCAGAATCTCTGGTCTCATTTGTACAGTTGTTTGAGTTGCTTCCTTTTTCAGAGAGTCTCCCCTTTTTTGTCTATATTTAGAAGCTCCTGTTACAAACTCACTTAGCCTCAGTTTTGAATTAGCCCTTTACTCACAATTGTGAAACATCAAATCTGTTTCTTGTTGTATGAGCCTAAAAAAGAATGTTCTCCGTGCTTTCAGAAACTGTGTATCTTAAAAACGTAAGGATCTCCAGTCTACCAGTAGATACATAAGATATGCATTCCCTGAAATCCTGTAATGGTCCAGTTCCAACTGTGTAATTAATACCAAGAAAGGCATATCCTTCAGTGCAGGGCATTATTTCACTCTGAGGTGTTCATTCTTTTAAAAAGTATTTGGATTACTCATCACACTATTCAGTAAATGTGACTTGTAGGGGTGCACTGATAGAGATTTTGGGGGCTGATACTGATAGCCAATTTTTAAGGAAGCTTACTGGCTAATACCAATCTGATTTCCAATACTCAGACTGGCAGCTTGAAGAGCTGCGTGCAGCTGGTAAGTCTGTTGTAGTTCAAGGGGAGGGAGGAGAGAAGGGCCGTGGGGGGACAGATCAAGGCCCCTGCAGTGAGGGAGGAGTGGGGCTGGGGCTGGGGCTGGGGCTGGTGCAGGCATTGCCTGGGTGGGGCGGGGTGTGGAACGGAGCTGTATCTTGTCTGGAGGGCATGGGGGATGGCTCCCACCATTGCGTACAACCTGGGAGGGCATGGAGGTGGGGCATTTGCTTCCAGATCTGTGTAGGGCGGCGCAGGCTACATCTATGGGCTGGGGTCAGGGCTGCACTAAGCTCTTTCTGGCAGGGGCCGGGCTGGGCTGGGCTGTGATAGGGGTGGGTGATGGTGCTGGGAGGGAGCTATGAGGGGGCAGCAGCCACCCCAAAATTCACTGTAGGCCCCTCAACTTTCGTTCCCAGCACTGATGCTGCCTGCCGCAAGCACAGCCCCAGCCTGACCCCTCCCCACCATGCACCAGGAAGAGTCCAGCACAGCTCCGGCCCCAGCCCACAGTGGCAGCCCACCCAGCCTGCACCTTGCATAGATCTAGGGGAATTTGCCCTCCTTATGCCCTCCCAGGGTGTGCACACCAGTGGGAACCGCACACCCCCCGCACTTCCCAGACAAGCTATGACTCTGTCCCATGCCCTGTCCCACCTCGGCTGGGCAGCACCTGCTCCAGCCCCTGCCCCAGTTCCAGCCCCAGCTCCAGCTCCACTTCCCCCATCACTGCAGGGGCCTTGATATGCCCCCCACCACATCCCATCCCTCCCCACTCCCCTTCTCCCACAGCAGACTTACCAAGCCAAGCTGCCAGACTGCGTTCCTCACTGCCTATGTTCTGTGCTGTGGCTCCACACATGCACAGGCCATTTATCAGCCAAATTATCAGCCACATCAGGTCAATTTCTGATACAGTAAATATTCTTTATATAGGCACCAATCTGATATTGGACCTATGTATTGGTGCATCTCTAGTGACTTGAATAATGTTTGTATAGATATCGGCTAACAAAAGCAGGGAATTGATTTTTTTTCCTTTTGTTTAGTACTGCAGTAAGGTAAGGACTATGAAATAACTGGAAATACCACAGAATGTTGGGAATTTATATACAAGTACGTGATTGACTGATTGACTGTCTGTTTAGAATTGCTGTTATATTTTTCAAGACTCTACAGTTGCATGGTTAATACAGTTAGAAGTTGTTTAGGCCAGGCATATGTATAGCATGTATTTTGTGTTATTATGTTAATATGTACTGTTATTATGTAAGAGAATGTTTAATAATGTCTACTTCTCTCTTTTTAGGTTAGGCCAAAGACCCTGATTCCAGACAGCCTTCCTATTTCCCCGTGCAGAGACCAACCATCCAAACAGCCTCCTGCTTTCCAAAAGGCAACAGTAGTCAGCATCAAAAACCCCAGCCCTGCTCTCCCCACTGCCAATAACACTGTCAGCCATGTACAGACACTTAACAGCAAGTCACACGGTGTTGAGTCTGCATCCATTTCATCACCTCTGAGTAGTGCGGGTGTGGCCTATGCCATCATATCC